GGTCGATTCCCAACCCGGAGCATCAGGCAGAGAGACAGGGGTTCCCCTCCTCCACCCTACTTCCCTCCCAGAGAACCCAGGCGTCCTGGCTCCCCTCCGCCACCCTGCTGCCCTTCCAGGGGACCCAGGCGTCCTGGCTCCCCTCTGCCACGCTACTGCCCTTCCAGGGGACCCAGGCGTCCTGGCTCCCAGCCCCCCCTGCTCTGACCCACCAGACCCCACTCCCCTCCCAGAGCCGGGGAGAGAACCCAGGAGTCCGGGCACTCACCACTCCCTTGCTGAGGCGCTGGGTGCTGGGCCGGCCGGCCGGGCGGTGGGGCAGGCAGAGCAGGGTGGCCAGCCCGAGCCATAGGGCCGGTAGCCACAGCATCGTACTGGCCGGGGTGTGTGTGTGTGGGGTGTCTCTCTCCACCCCACGGGGCGCTGAGGGCGCGATGCTGCCCAGCGAGCTTCTCTGCCCTATATACCAGCCCCCCCTCCCCGCCTGGCTCCTCCCCAGCCCCGCCCAGCCTGCATCGATCCACACACAGGAGCCCGGACTCCTGGGTTCCCTCCAAACTCCCCCCAGGCTCGGGGGTTGGGGAATTAGCTCAGCAAGTCGCAGAGCCGGCGGGGGGGGGGAATTGGGGGTGGGGGCGGGTCTGTTTCTTTCTCTCTCAGATCCCGACCCCAATTAGCCGCTCTGCCCCCCTGGAGGAAACCCCCCCCCCGACCTGCTGCTTTGATCCCACCCCCTTCCTTCCCCACTAATCTCCCTCTATTTCCTCCCGTCACACCCGGCTGCCCCCCACCAGCACCCGGCATGTGGGGTTCACATGGGGGGACCCACAGACCACGACCCTTGAAAGGAAAAGGGGCCCCCTCTGCATCATCTCCCCCAAACTCCAGTCACCTCCAAACACTCCAGACCCCTAGAACTGCCCCCAGCTCCCCCAAATACCCCAGCCCCCCAGATCTGCCTCCAGCCCCCCAGCTTCCCCCAAATACCCCAGCCCCCTAGAACTGCCTTCAGTCCCCCAGCTCCCCCAAATTCCCCAGCCCCCCAGATCTGCCTCCAGTCCCCCAGCTTCCCCCAAATACCCCAGCCCCCTAGAACTGCCTTCAGTCCCCCAGCTCCCCCAAATACCCCAGCACCCCAGATCTGCCTCCAGCCCCCCAGCTTCCCCCGAATACCCCAGCCCCCTAGAACTGCCTTCAGCCCCCCAGTTCCCCCAAATACCCCAGCACCCCAGATCTGCCTCCAGCCCCCCAGCTTCCCCTGCCCATCCCCCAATCTCCCCAATTCCTCTAGAACTTCCCACAGCCTGAGCTTACCCCAAATCCCCCCCCCGACTCCCCCGCATTTCCCCAGCCCCCAAATCCCCCTCACTCCCATCCCAGCCCCCCCTCCCCATCCATCCCCACACCCTGCCCCCTGGCTGGGGAGCGCACCTTAAACATGGCAGAGCCAGCGGAGGGGGGAGGGGAGCCCCCAAGCTGTCTCTGGTCCCGTCCCCCACCCCACATTCAGGCCCCTTCTGCCCGGCAATTAACCCTGGGCCGGGCAGATCAAAGGCAGGGACCCCTCCCCCACCCTTCTGCCATCCATCTCCTTCCTCAGCCCCACAGCCCCGGGGGCCGGAGACCACCAGACTGTGTCCAGCGCCGGGCGAGGGGTCCCCGTGTACCCAGCCCCCCCCAGCTGCCCCAGCACCGGGCGAGGGGTCCCCGTTTGCCCAGCCCCCCCCCTCAGCTGCCCCAGCGCCGGGCGAGGGGTCCCCGTGTGCCCAGCTCCCCCCCCCCAGCTGCCCCAGCGCTGGGCGAGGGGTCCCTGTGTGCCCAGCTCCCCCCCAGCTGCCCCAGTGCCGGGCGATGGGTCCCCGTTTGCCCAGCCTCCCCCCCAGCTGCCCCAGCGCCGGGCGAGGGGTCCCCGTGTGCCCAGCCCCCCACCCCATCCCAAGGGGGGGTTGTGACGAAGTGGGACTGTTCTTAATGTTTCCTCCGAATATTGTGGGTGTGCCTCAGTTTCCCCTATGAAGTTCTTAAGTCTCTAGGGGGTGGGGTAAGGGTGTATGATCATTGCAGAGCCCTAGAGGGCAGGTGTGTGCAGGGGCCTGGACACAGAGAATGGCCGACACCCTGTTTCCTGGCCACTGATGGCCTGGGCCCTTCCCCCCCTGCAAGGTGAGAGCTGAAGGGTTGGAGAACAAAGGACTCAGGTGACCTCCTGGCCCGGGAAAGGGACAAAGCCCAGAGGAGGAGGGGCTGGAGGGAGGTGGCAGTTTGGGGCTGGCTGGGGACAAGGAGTGAAGTGCAGACGGGGTTGTCTGGCTCACTGCCCCCCAGAATGGACCCAGCTGAGGGATCCTGTTCTCTGTACCTACAAGCTCTGTTTTAGACCATGTCCCTGTCGTCTAATAAACCTTCTGTTTTACTGGCTGGCTGAGAGTCACGTCTGACTGCGGAGTTGGGGGGCAGGACCCTCTGGCTTCCCCAGGACCCCGCCTGGGCGGACTGGCTGTGGGAAGCGCACGGAGGGGCAGAGGAGGCTGAATGCTCTGGGGTCAGAGCCAGGAAGGTGGAGCCGGGTGAGCTGTGTGTCCTGCAGACAGGCTGCTCCCCGAGAGGAGACTTCCCCCGAGTCCTGCCTGGCTTCACGGGGAGCAGTCCCAGAGCATCCCCCGGGGACTCTGTGACAGGGGTCTCCCTGACTTCTCCAGCCCCAGGCCCCCATCCCCAGGGTCTAGGGAAGAAGGTTTCCCCAAGTCACAAGGCTGGAGGATGCAGGGAGCTCAGGGCCAGCGGCTCCAAAGCGGTTACTGGGGATAAAAATAACCCCAGCCCGAGGCTGATGGGAACCAGTGAAAGGCAACGAGACCAGCCCCCCCCCCCCCTCCAGCCTTGGAGCGAACCCAGGAGTCCTGGCTCCCAGCCTCCCCTGCTCTAACCACCAACCCCCGCTCCCCTCCCAGAGCCAGGGAGAGAACCCAGGAGTCCTGGCTCCCAGCCCCCCCTGCTCTAACCCACCAGCTCTCACTCCCCTCTCAGAGCCAGGCAGAGAACCCAGGAGTCCTGGCTCCCAGCCCCCCCTGCTCTAACCCACCAGCTCTCACTCCCCTCCCTGAGCCAGGGAGAGAACCCAGGAGTCCTGGCTCCCAGCCCCCCCTGCTCTAACCCACCAGCTCTCACTCCCCTCTCAGAGCCGGGCAGAGAACCCAGGAGTCCTGGCTGCCAGCCCCCCCGCTCTAACCACTAGCCCCCCCCGCCCCGCAGCTGGAGGGTGAAGCTGGTTCCCTGGGCTGGCGGCTTGGCCAGACTCGGGTTTGCCCAACAGCCGCTTTCGCCAACACCCGAAGAACAACAGGATGTGGGGAGCTGCCCGAGTTACCCCATAACCCCGCACGACGGGGGGGGCCACGCGGGGAGTGTGGCTGTGGGGGCAGGGAGTGTGTGGGTGGGGTATCAGGAGGGGAGGGGTATTGGGGGAGGAGGGGTATGAGGCGGGGGGTGCAGGGGTGGGGAAGGGGTATCAGGAGGGGGAGGGGTATATAGGTGGGGGAAGGGTGCGTGGGCGGGGGAGGGGTATCAGGAGGGGGAGGGGTATTGGGGAAGAGGGGTATGAGGAGGGGGGTGCAGGGGTGGGGAAGGGGTATCAGGAGGGGTAGGGGTATAGAGGTGGGGGGAGGGGTGCGTAGGCGGGGGAGGGGTATCAGGAGGGGGAGGGGTATTGGGGAGGAGGGGTATGAGGAAGGGGTGCAGGGGTGGGGAAGGGGTATACAGGTGGGGGTGGGGTATCAGGAGGGGGAGGGTATTGGGGAGGAGGGGTATGAGGAAGGGGTGCAGGGGTGGGGAAGGGGTATACAGGTGGGGGTGGGGTATCAGGAGGGGGAGGGGTATATAGGTGGGGGAGGGGTGCGTAGGCGGGGGAGGGGTATCAGGAGGGGGAGGGGTATTGGGGAGGAGGGGTATGAGGAAGGGGTGCAGGGGTGGGGAAGGGGTATACAGGTGGGGGTGGGGTATCAGGAGGGGGAGGGGTATATAGGTGGGGAGGGGTGCGTAGGCGGGGGAGGGGTATCAGGAGGGGGAGGGGTATTGGGGAGGAGGGGTATGAGGAGGGGGTGCAGGGGTGGGGAAGGGGTATACAGGTGGGGGTGGGGTATCAGGAGGGGGAGGGGTATATAGGTGGAAGAGGGGTCCGGGGGAGGGGTATGGGGGGCAGGGTATGAGGCAGGGCAGGGGCGCATGGGCGGGGGAGGGGTTTGACCCACAGCTCAGGCTGCCCCCCCCCAGAGGGGTGCGTGGGGGGATTCGAGCCGGGTGACGCCGTCGGGACGCTTCGGGGCTCAGGGCCCGTCCCCTCCGGGGGGCGCCGGCCCCCACCCGGCCCCAGGGCGCCCCCCTCACACTTGTCCACCCCCCCCCCCCCAGGCTCCCATCGATCGCTCCCCGAATGCAGCCGGTTCCCGGACGCGGCCGCGGGCACCCAGGGGACCCCGCTAATGGATTGGGGGATGGGCTGGGGGGCGGCGCTGGCAGCTGGCAGGACGCGGGGGGGGGCTGAGGCAGTTCGGGGACTGGTGGGGAGGTGGGGGGCTGGGGTCCCTGTCGGGGGGCCGGGCCGAGGGCTTTGGGGGCCTTTGGGTTCGTCGGGGATTTGTGGGGGCCGGGCGCCGGTGTTGGGGGGATTGGGGCGGTGGGTTTGAGGGAGGGGGGATTGGGAGGTTTCAGGGGGGCAGGGCGAGGTGGGGGGGCAGGAGGGGGGAGAAGGGACAGGGGATCGGGGCTGGAAGCAAAGGCGCCGACTTCTGCTCCTGCCGGTGGGGGCTTGACCCCCCCCCTCCCGGCCCCTATTCCGACTCCTTCCCCAAATCCCGCCCCGGCCCCACCTCCTCCCCCCAGCGCCCCGCTCCCCGCTCGGCGTGGCTGCGGGGGGGGCAGAGCACCCCGGCCCCGGAGCACCCACGGAGTCGGCACCTATGGGTGGAAGGAGGGAAGGGGGCGGGGCTGGGCGGGTGGAGGGGTGGAAGGAGGGAAGGGGGCAGGGCCGGAGAAGGGGGGGGCAGGACTCGCTCACCTGTGCCGGCCCCTTGGGGGCGGGGGGAGGAATCGGGAAATAAACAGGAACTGAGCCCTGGGTACCTGCTGCTCCGATCCAGAGGGGACGAGAACCCAGGAGTCCTGACCCCCACCAGACTGAGCCCCCCTGCACCCCTCCTTTCCTCCCCTTCCTAGGGGCCAGAAACCCGCCCCCTCCCCCTCCGGGCAGGTAGAAGCCAGGCGTCCTGCCCCCCATTTCTCATCTGGGTGTAGCGAACCCAGGCGTCCTGCCCCCCATTCCCATCCAGTGGGAGAGAACCCAGGCGTCCTGCACCCCCCATCCATGTCAGCCCCCTCGCTGTACCCCGAGGAGGAGGCGCGGGGCGCCCCCTTCCTGCCGACGCCCCCCGCGCTGGGCGAGGAGTTCTACCCCTTCGCCACGGAGCGGCGGGGGGGCCCCGGGCCGGGGGCCGGGGGGGACCCCGACACCGACGACCCCGGGGTGCTGCTGCAGCGCAAGGAGCAGGACCTGCTGCTGGCCGCCGAGCTGGGCAAGATGCTGCTGGACCAGAACGAGGAGCTGCGGGGGCGCTGCCAGGCGCTGGCCCGGGACCACGCGGCCGCCCTGGAGGTGAGACCCCCCCGGGCCCAGCCCCGGCCCCCCTGCATCCCCACGCCCCTCCCAGAGCCGGGAGAGAACCCAGGAGTCCGGGCTCCCAGCCGCCCCTGCTCTAACCCCTAGACTCCACTCCCCTCCCAGAGCCGGGGGGAGAACCCAGGAGTCCGGGCTCCCAGACGCCCCTGCTCTAACCCCTAGACTCCACTCCCCTCCCAGAGCCGGGGGGAGAACCCAGGAGTCCGGGCTCCCAGCCGCCCCTGCTCTAACCCCTAGACTCCACGCCCCTCCCAGAGCCGGGGGGAGAACCCAGGAGTCCGGGCTCCCAGCCGCCCCTGCTCTAACCCCTAGACTCCACTCCCCTCCCAGAGCCGGGGGGAGAACCCAGGAGTCCGGGCTCCCAGCCCCACCCCCACCTGCTCTAACCACACTCTCTCTGGCTCAGAGGGGGGCTGGTCCCTGGGACTTTCTCCCCCCCCGCCCCCATGACTCACCCTCCTGCTCTGTTTCGCTCCTGTTCTCCGGCTGCCCCCGTAATTACCCCCGTCCCTGCCCGGCTGGGGCCGACGCGCCCCAGCACCCGGTCCGACTGGTCCGGCTGGCAGCACCACCCAGGGGTGCAGCCGGTACCGGGGCGACCCCAGGGCTGGGCAGCCTCCCCGATCCGGCCCCAGGGCTTGCGACTGGCTGGCTCAGGGGGCAGGGAATGGGGCTGTTCCCCCCTAGGGGCGCCAGACCCGATCCGGCCTGGGGGGCGCAGGGAATGGGGCATGGGGCTTTCCCCCCTAGGGTGCGCTGGCCCCGATCCGGCCTGGGGGGCGCAGGGAATGGGGCATGGGGCTTTTCCCCTCTAGGGTGCGCCGGCCCCGATCCGGCCTGGGGGGCGCAGGGAATGGGGCATGGGGCTTTCCCCCCTAGGGTGCGCCGGCCCCGATCCGGCCTGGGGGGCGCAGGGAATGGGGCATGGGGCTTTCCCCCTAGGGTGCGCCGGCCCCGATCCGGCCTGGGGGGGAGGGAATGGGGCATGGGGCTTTCCCCCTAGGGTGTGCTGGCCCCGATCCGGCCTGGGGGGAGGGAATGGGGCATGGGGCTGTTCCCCCTAGGGTGGCCGGCTGATCGCCTGGGGGCGCAGGGAATGGGGATGGGGTCCCCCAGGGTGGCCGGCGATCCGGCCTGGGGGACAGGGAATGGGGATGGGGCCCCTAGGGTGGGGCCGATGGCCTGGGGGCGAGGGAATGGGGCATGGGGCTTTCTCCCCAGGGTGCGGCCGATCTGGCCTGGGGGACAGGGAATGGGGCATGGGGCTGTTCCCCCTAGGGTGCGCCGGCCCGATCCCCTGGGGGCGAGGGAATGGGGCATGGGGCTTTTCCCCTCTAGGGGGCCGCCCCAATCGGCCTGGGGGGACAGGGAATGGGGATGGGGCTTCCCCCAGGGTGCGCCGGCCCCGATCCGGCTGGGGGGCAGGGAATGGGGCATGGGGCTTCCCTCTAGGGTGCGCCGGCCCCGATCCGGCCTGGGGGGCGCAGGGAATGGGGCATGGGGCTTTCCCCCCTAGGGTGCGCCGGCCCCGATCCGGCCTGGGGGGCGCAGGGAATGGGGCATGGGGCTTTCCCCCCTAGGGTGCGCCGGCCCCGATCCGGCCTGGGGGGCGCAGGGAATGGGGCATGGGGCTTTCCCCCCTAGGGTGCGCCGGCCCCGATCCGGCCTGGGGGGCGCAGGGAATGGGGCATGATGCTGTTCCCCCCTAGGGGCGCCAGCCCCGATCCGGCCTGGCGGGGGGCTGGCTGGCTCAGGGGGCAGGGAATGGGGCGGTTCCCCTCTGGGCCTGGGGGGGCTGCCCAGGGCTGGTCTCACCCCCCCACCCCCCCGCAGAGGCTGGAGCAGGAGAAGTATGAGCTCCGCCGGCGGCTGGCGTCGGGGGTGGCCGAGTGGCAGACGCGGGGGGCGGAGCTGGAGGGGGACCTGGCGGCCCTACGAGCCCAGCTGGGCCACCAGCGGCTGGAGCAGCAGGACACCAGCCGGGAGAGCTCCCACGTCGCGCAGGAGCTGTCGGAGCAGAACCAGCACCTAGCCGAGCAGCTGAGCCAGGTCAGCCCGGACGCCGGGGTTCCTTGCGAGGGGAGGGGGGCCTAGCGGTCAGAGCGAGGGGGCAGGGCGGGGAGCCTGGACACCTGGGTTCCTTGGGAGGGGAGGGGGGGGCCTAGTGGTCACAGCATGGGGGGCAGGGCTGGGAGCCTGGACACCTGGGTTCCTTGGGAAGGGAGTGGGGCCTAGTGGTCACAGCATGGGGGGCAGGGCGGGGAGCCTGGACACCTGGGTTCCTTGGGAGGGGAGGGAAGGGGAGGAGTGGGTAATATTGGCTGCCTGGACATCCCTTCTGTGTCCCATGATCCTATTGGGCTGAAATCCCTTAAGTGGCTCAGGATCAGGGCAGGGGGGGAGGAGATGGGGGGGCAAGGGGTGAATTTCCTGAGTGGGTGGATTTAAAGGGCCAGTGCTGGGTCCTAGGGACCCCCCCCATACCCCTCTCAGCTCACAGGTCAGGCAGGTCCCCGATGCTGTGTCTGAGCCCCCCAGTGGGCCCAGCTCACTCCCCTCTGCCCCCGTCCATCTGTCCGTCTGTCTGCCCCTCCCCCCCAGGCCTCACAGCTGGAGCAGCAGCTGCAGGACGAGCTGATGGCCTTGCGGGTTGAGAATCGCACCCTGGGGATGAGCAGCGCCGAGCACGCGGCCCAGACCCAGAGCCTGCAGGCCGAGGTGAGATGCGCACCCTCCCCTCCAGGGGGCGCCGGCTCCGGTCCGGCCGCAGGGCGGGGACTGGCTGGCTCAGGGGATGGGGGGGGACCTGGGGCCTTTCTCCTCTAGGGGGCGCCGTGGGGTATGGGGCAGGGGACCTTTCCCCTCCAGGGGGCGCCAGCTCCCATCCGGCCCCAGGGCGGGGACTGGCTGGCTCAGCGGGGTGGGGTAGGGGGCAGGGGACCTTTCCCCTCCAGGGGGCGCTGACTCCGGTCCAGCCAAAGGGCGGGGACTGGCTGGCTCGGAGGGTGGGGATCTGGACCTGGGGCCTTTCCCCTCCTGGGGGCGCCAGTTCTGACCCGTCTCTCGCTCCCCAGAACCTGATGCTGCAGGAGCGGAAGCAGAAGCTGGAGTGTCAGGCCCGGCAGCGGCGGGAGGAGACCGAGGCCGTGCAGGGGCTGGTGGAGACGCTGCATGAAAACCTCCTGCTCCTGCGCCGGGAGGTGCACGAGAAGGAGCTGCAGGTATGGCCCGGGGGCGCCGCGCGGCAGGGAGGCTCGGCGGCAGAGGGGGGGGCTGTATTAACCCTTTGTTCCCCTTGCCCGCCCCCAGGCCCAGCAGCTCCGGGCCGAGGCAGAGGAGCTCCGAGTCTCCAACAGGTGGCTCCAGCGCCGGGTGAGGGAGATGACGGATGAGATTCGTCTCCACGACTCGGATGCCTCGGTCGCCTCCCTGCAGTCGGAGATCGAGCAGAGCAGCGAGGGGAGCCCGGAGCAGAATGGGGGGCCTGCTAAGGTGAGCGGAAGGGCTCTTGGGGGGTCCCCAACATCCTTGTATGGGCTGGGGTATGTTCACCTCCGTTAAATCAGCACGAGTCTTCTGTTGGGAAACCTAGACTCTTGGTGAGTCTTGCTGTTGCCCAGAAATCCATCCCCTGCTGAGGAACCTAGAACAAACCCAATGTTGGGAAACCAAGAACCTCCTCTTTTGGGTGGGTGTAAGTCACCCAGAACCCAGTGGTTGTTGAGGAACCTAGAACCAACCCAATGTTGGGAAACCAAGAACCTCCTCTTTTGGGGGGGTGTAAGTCACCCAGAACCCAGTGGTTGTTGAGGAACCTAGAACCAACCCAATGTTGGGAAACCAAGAACCTCCTCTTTGGGGGTTGTGTAAGTCACCCAGAACCCAATGGTTGTTGAGGAACCTAGAACCACGGCTCAACTAAGTACCTAGTACCCCAAAGTAGGTGACGGACATGGAACCCTCCCTCTTTGGGGCCATAGAAATTACCCAGAATCCATCCATCATTGGGGAACCTAGAACCTGTTCCTTTGGGAACCTAGAAATTGCCCATCTAAGCACTGGGTGAGGGGGTCCCTGTATAAACAGCCCCCACGCCGCACCCCAGAGGTGGCTGCATCTCAGTGCCAAAGATGTTGTTCTCGTGTTGGGTTAGCCCCTGGCCAGGACCGTATCCGAGGCTGCCCCTGGGGGTCCGAAGACCCCAGCCCGGGGGTCGGAAGAGGAGGGTGAATATGCTAAAAGGGTCTTGGCTCTGACCCAACTGGATCAAGACCTGCTGAGACAGAAGGAGGTAGAGATACAAAAACTCCATGACCAGGTGAGTGTATGTGGGGGGTGCTCTCTCCTCGCTGGGGTGGGAGGCCATAAGTGGGACCCCGGGAGGGGGGCATGGGGGGCTCCCCAGCAGGGGGCGCTCTCCCTGCCCTACCCCCTCTCTCTGCCCCCAGCTGACCCTGCAGCACGTGGAGCTTTGCGGCCTGCAGGAGGAGCTGGCGAGCCAGAGACGCCTCTTCCAGGAGAGTGACCGGGACGAGACCCTCAAACTGGCCGTGGCTGATCGGGATGAAGCCATAATAAAGTGAGACCCCCCCATGCCGCCCCTGCCCCGAGCCAGGCCGTCCCCCTCCCCCGGAGCTGGTGCCCCTTAGAGGGGAAAGGCCCCGTGCCCTGTTCCCCACCCCCCTGCATGATGCACCACTGAGGAAGAGAGACCCCTTGTGTTCACAAGTGGGAACTGCCCCCAAATGACTATCCAGGGAGTTAGGGCTGGAGGGGGAACTGGGGGGGCGGCGGCGATGTGAGCGGGGAACACAGGAATGATCATGGGGGAGGGGAGCGGGGGAGATGTGGCTGATTGGGGGAGGGGAGTGGGGGAGATGGGGCGGGAGGGGGCTGGAGCGGGGGAGGCTGGGCTGGAGGGGCGCTGATCAGGGGAGGGGAATGGGGGAGATCGGGCAAGAGGCGGTGGCTGGTTGGGGGGGGAGGGGAGGGGAGCAGGGCTGGGTGCTGGGTCTGACCCCTGTGGCCCCCCCACCGCAGGAAGGGCCAGATGGAGCTGGAGCTGGCCCAGGTCTCTCTGGAGCGGGACTCCATGAGCCAACAGCTGCTCGCCGCCATCCGCCAGAAGATGGCGCTGTCCCAGGAGCTGGAGGGCTGGCAGGTGGGTCCCGACTCTGGGGGGTGGGAAGGTTCCCCCCCAGGACTCCTGAGTCCCTTTCTTAGCAGGTAGAGGCCCTAAATAGTATCCTGGACTCCTGGGTTCCTACCTCAATGGCTAGAATCACCACGACTCCTGGGTCCCATCTGTGGTGGGTAAAGCCCTCAGAACAGTGACGCAGAGACTTGAGTACCATTCCCAGCTGCTACAGTCTCCGGGACTGTGACCCGGACTCCTGGGTCCCCTCCCTAGCCTATGGCAATGTTCACCTCTGTGCCCCCATTTCTCTCCCAGGACGACATGGAGTTCATTATCAAGCAGCAGCTGAAGCTCCAGCGGCAGCAAGAAGGGATCCCCGTGTCCCCCCCAGCTCCCTCCAGGACCCCAGAGCAGGCCAAGACCTCGCCTTTCTTTCGGCGCGGGAACAGCGCCCCCAATGGCACCAGCTTCCTATCGCTCTTCAAAAAAAGCTGAGACACTGGGGGCTGGTTCTGGAGTTCTAGGGAGAGGAGAGGCAGAGGGGTCAGGATGGGGTGAGTGGACACAACACACCAGCACCAAACAAAGGACGCGGCCAAACCGGCTGGTTACCGAGGTGCCACTGAGATGAGTCTTGGGTAACTAGCTGCAAGGTCACTCAACAGGAGGTTCTAGGTCACTCAGCTAGAAAGTCTGTCCAGAGGATTTGCAGGCACGCCACTGCAAGTCCCAGCTTTCCAAAACCGTCCCCTCTCAATTGCCCAAGTTGATGTTCTAGGTGGGTCAACAGCCATTCTAGGTCCTCAACCTCCTAGGTTTAATGCTGCATGTGGAACAAGCAATTGCTGCTCTAGGTTGCCCAATCCTATCTGACTGGGTCATCTGTAGTAGCAGCCCACAGGTTTTCTTACTGCACAATCTGTTGGCTAACTAACCAGCTGTTTACTCCATATTGGCTGGACTAGGGTTCTAGATTATCCTACTGAGTGACCTATATTGGCCAGCTTTATACAACTGGATATGCAGTATTGACCAACCCCGAGTTCCCTGTTATCCTACTGCATAATCTAGGTTGGCCAACTCTATTCAACTGGATTCTCCATATTGAACACACTAGGGTTCTAGGTTATCTTACCAGGTTATCCAACCCTTCTCACCATGGCTTGACAAACTGGATGGTGCTGATTAGCCAAATGAATGTTTCATGTGAGCCAATTGAGTGTTCTAGGTTAGGCTACTGGATGTGCAAGGATACCCAGACGTCCCTTTCTAAATTGGCCAGTTGGACTATCTGTGGCGGTAACAGTTATGGTGCGTGATCCCAGCCGGGGTTCTTGGTTACACCGTTCACTCCAAGTGGATGCACCCTGTTGACAAAGACATGGTCCTACATCATATCCTGTTTGGAGTTCTAGATCAGAGAACTCACTTCAAGTGGGCTCTTCATTGCTGGCAAATCCTCCTGCCCCCTATGCTTCCCAACGGGAGGTTTGGTGTCAGCCAACTGACACTTCTAGATCACCCTACATCCTGTTCTAGATTAGCCCGCTCTTCACTCCCTTGCCCGTGGATCTCTAGCTACCAAGACGCATTGCTCATCTGTGTTTTTCAGATGAGGACTCAGGACTAACGTGTATTATGGACAGACAGAAGGTGCAGAATAAGGCATCTGTAAAAATATCTGCTTCAGGTTCTAGGTGACTCAATAAAAGGCACAAAAGGTGGCTGGCCAGAACACTAGAGAAGCCAAGAGAAAAGCGGCCATGTAATAACCCTCAGCACTGGCCCTTAGCCAGCACCTTCCACTTGATTAGCACTTTATTAACACTGATTAACCCCCTCAACCCAGCCCCCATAAACTGAGTTCCTACCCTTATCCCCACTTCACATGGGGCAAACTGAGGCACGGATAGGCGAAGGGACTTGACCAAGGTCACACAGTGGCAGAGAAGAGACCCCAGGAGTCCTGATGCCAAGCCCCCGCTGCCGCTCTAACCACTAGGCCCTACTCCCCTTCCACAAAGCATCCTCTTAACTGCTACTTTGGGCGAGTATTTCCCGCTCAAGCCGCAGAACTTGTGAGGTTCTAGATTCTCTCACACACGCAGAGCAGGGCTCACCCCCCTCCAGCTGGGGGCAGAATATTTTGCTACCTTATCTGCTCAAGGTGCCCCGTGTTATAGGATCAAAGGTCTATCTAGCGACACAGGGAACACGCTCCCGTACTAACCACGGTGACGCAGAGGCTGTCGGTCTCTGTAGTTAACGCGCTCGGGTTGTGACCGGGGATTTTTCTATCCCGCTGCCTTGTGCAGCTATCATTTGCACCGAGCAAGTACAGAGAGAGATGGTTACTAAGCGCTGTGTGTGTGTGTCATTTCTACAAGGAGGCAGGACTCCTGGGTTCTCTCCCTGGCTCTGGGCGGGGAGGTGGGTCTAGTTGGATAGAGCAGGGGCGGCTGGGAGCCAGGACTCCTGGGTTCTCTCCCTGGCTCTGGGAGGGGAGGTGGGTCTAGTTGGATAGAGCAGGGCGGGCTGGGAGCCAGGACTCCTGGGTTCTCTCCCTGGCTCTGGGAGGGGAGGTGGGTCTAGTTGGATAGAGCAGGGGGGGCTGGGAGCCAGGACTCCTGGGTTCTCTCCCTGGCTCTGGGAGGGGAGTAGGGTTGGGGGGGCTGGGAGCCAGGACTCCTGGGTTCTCTCCCTGGCTCTGGGAGGTGAGGTGGGTCTAGTTGGATAGAGCAGGGCGGGCTGGGAGCCAGGACTCCTGGGTTCTCTCCCTGGCTCTGGGAGGGGAGGTGGGTCTAGTTGGATAGAGCAGGGGGGGCTGGGAGCCAGGACTCCTGGGTTCTCTCCCTGGCTCTGGGAGGGGAGGTGGGTCTAGTTGGATAGAGCAGGGGGGGCTGGGAGCCAGGACTCCTGGGTTCTCTCCCTGGCTCTGGGAGGGGAGGTGGGTCTAGTTGGATAGAGCAGGGGGGGCTGGGAGCCAGGACTCCTGGGTTCTCTCCCTGGCTCTGGGAGGGGAGTAGGGTTGGGGGGGCTGGGAGCCAGGACTCCTGGGTTCTCTGCCCAGCTCTGGGAGAGGAGCGAGGGGCTGTGGTTGCCGCCCTGGGGGCGGGAGAACAATGGGGTACTTGTGGCGGTGTGGGGGGGGTAGACGGGAAGCCAGGCTGGAATGTCCTTTCCGGGTGGAGGAATGGGGCCCAGACAGACAGATGGACAAATGCAGCCCAGACACCCTCCCCCGCACACAGGGAATGGGCTGTGGGAGGGGGGACCCCAGATTTTGGGGGAGATCAACTGGAGGATAGGGACTGAGTGTGCGTGAGAGTCGGGGGAGCCATCTTCTTGGGGGCTGATGAAGGGGGGCATCTGGGGGGATGGGGAAGAAGGAACCCATTTCCTGTGCAGCAAGGGGACAGAGTGGGGGGTGACTCCATCTCTGGGAGGGGTGGACCTGACCATCTATGGGGCTCAGCCTGGGGGGCCCCCAATCTGGGGGAGGGGCCCTGGGGGGGGTGGGGATTTGGAGGGTGAGGTTCATAGTGGTGGAGTGGGTGTTTGGAGGTGCAGGGGGTGGGGTGCATGAGGGTGGGGGATGTTTGGGGGTGCAGGGGAGGAGGTGTGTGGATTTGGGATGCTGGGGGAGGGGTGCATTGGGGTGGGGTAGTGTTTGGGGTGCAGGGGAGGAGGTCTGGAGGGTGGGGATTTGGGGTGCATAGGGGAGGGGCGGGTGTTTGGGGGTGCAGGGGAGGAGGTCTGAGGGGGTGGGGATTTGGGGTGCTGGGGGGAGGGGTGCATAGGGGTGGCAGCGTGGGTGTTTGGGGCTCCGGGGGAGGGGGCAGGGACTATCAGCCGGACTGGGCGTGTCCAGGGAGGAGGGGGGGGGTCACTTGGCCCCGCCCCCATCAGGCCCCGCCCCTTCCCAGCCCAGCCGGCCCGGGCCGAGGCCGCAGGAAGGGAGGTTCTGGGTCAGCTGATCCCGGGTCCACCTACCGCCGGGCCGCGGACGCCGCTGGAAAAGGGGGGTTTCTGGGGGGCCCGATTCCCGTCCGCACCCGGCTCTGCCCGCCCCCCCCTTCCTGCAGCCGGGGGCCCGGGATTAGGGGACCCCCCGGGAGAGGCGCCCCCCAGCCATGACCCCCTGAGCAGAGGCCCCTTGCGCCCAGGCAGCTCCCGGGGGCCGGGACTTTGAACCCCCGCAGCCCGGGGGCGCCGGGCCGGACCGGCGGAGGGAGGGACCGGACCGGACCGGACCGGGCAGGCGGAGGGAGGGACCGGCAGGCGAATGGCTGGCAAGGACTATGACCATCTCTTCAAGCTGCTCATCATCGGGGACTCGGGTAGGGGCCGGGCCTGGCGCGTCCCCCCTTCCCCGGGACCCCCTTCCCCTGCCGACCCCCCCTTCCCCGGCACCCCCTTCCCCTGCCGACCCCGCTTTCCCCGGGACCTCCTGTCCCCGGGACCCCCTTCCCCTGCCTCCCCCATGGTGTGTTCCCTGCCCCCCCCGGGCCCCTTTCCCCTGGGCCCCCCCACCCCCCGTCTGCCTCCTTCTTTCCTTTCCCTCCCCTCGCTCCCTCTCTCCAAGTCCCTTCCCCGCTTCGTGTCTCTGTTTCCTTCCTTTGTTCCAGCTTCTCTTCGGCCCCCCCCACCCCGCTCCCTGGCGCTCCCTGGGGAAGATTTCCGCCCCCCCATCCTTCTCTTCCCCCCCCTTCCCAAGTTTCCCTCCCTCCCTCCATGTTCTTCCCTCCTCTCCTGGCCCTGGCCCCTCTTCCCCCCACCCCTTCCCTCCCTCTTCCGTCTCCTCTGGGTCATTTCTCTTCTGTCCGGCCTGTCTCCTTCCCCCCGTCCCCCCCCCCCCCCGCGCTGTCCCCCTTCTCTTCTCCCCCCCGCGCCTCTTCCCTCCCCTCCCCTCGCTCCCAGCTCTGCACCCCGCTGCGCTTTCCCCTTCGGCCTGTTCTCTGCCACCCGCCCTGCGGCCTAGGGGTTAGAGCAGGGGGGGCTGGGAGCCCGGACTCCTGGGTTCTCTCCCCAGCTCTGAGAGGGGAGTGGGGGCTGGTGGGTTAGAGCAGGGGGGGCTGGGAGCCCGGACTCCTGGGTTCTCTCCCCAGCTCTGAGAGGGGAGTGGGGGCTGGTGGGTTAGAGCGGGGGGGGCTGGGAGCCAGGACTCCTGGGTTCTCTCCCCGGCTCTGAGAGGGGAGTGGGGGCTGGTGGGTTAGAGCAGGGGGGGCTGGGAGTTCTATTCCCAGTTCTGTGAACTTGAACAATTCCCTGCGCATCTGTGCCTCAGTTTCCCCATGAGTGCAGCGGGGTAAATAGACCCAACCCCCGGGGGTTGAAATGCATTGAGATCAACCCCTGTATAACACAGAGGTGGGGTGGGGTTTCTCGTCCCCCCTTTTTCAGTCCTCCTCTTTCTACCTACTCTCTCTGTGCCCCTCTGGGCTGTGTCCTGGGAGTTGTGCAGACCACACCTATAGTGGGGGGCAGAGATTATTTTGGGGGGCAGATCGGGGGGGGAGAACCCCCAGATCTCAGTCGGTACCCTGCCCTGCCCTGCCCTGCCCTGCCTGCCCTCGGGGTGAGGTTTTTAACGGAGCGAGCGGAGCCGCCCCGGACGCCTGTGTCCTGTCCCGGTTTCTCCCCACCCGGCAAGGCAGCTGTTCCCTTCAGTCCAGTTAGTCCCAGCGCCACCCACCCCCTGTGGGCCCGAGACAGGCCAAGAGCCAGGACTCCTGGGTTCTCTCCCTGGCTCGGGGAGGGGAGAGGGGTTTGGTGGTTATGGGGGGGGGGCGCGCCTGGGAGCCAGGACTCCTGGGTTCTCTCCCTAGCTCGGGGAGGGGAGAGGGGTCTGGTGGTTATAGCGTGGGGGGTGGGCCTGGGAGCCAGGACTCCTGGGTTCTCTCCCTAGCTCGGGGAGGGGAGAGGGGTCTGGTGGTTATAGCCGAGGGGGGGGGCCTGGGAGCCAGGACTCCTGGGTTCTCTCCCCGGCTCTGGGAGGGGAGTGGGATCTGGTGGGTTAGGGCAAGCGGGGCTGGGAGCCAGGACTCCTGGGTTCCCTCCCTGGCTCGGGGAGGGGAGAGGGGTCTGGTGGTTATAGCCAAGGGGGGGGGGGCCTGGGAGCCAGGACTCCTGGGTTCTCTCCCCGGCTCTGAGAGGGGAGTGGGATCTGGTGGGTTAGAGCAAGCGGGGCTGGGAGCCAGGACTCCTGGGTTCCCTCCCTGGCTCGGGGAGGGGAGAGGGGTCTGGTGGTTATAGTGGGGTGGGGGTGGGGGGGCTGGGAGCCAGTACTCCTGGGTTCTTTCCCTGGCTCGGGGAGGGGAGTGGGGTCTAGTGGTTATAGCGGGGGCTGGGAGCCAGGACTCCTGGGTTTTCTCCCTGGCTCGGGGAGGAGAGTGGGGTCTGGTGGTTATAGCCGGGGGGGGGGGGGGGCAGGGAGCAGGGAGCCAGGACTCCTGGGTTCTCTCCAGGTGGTGGGGTGAGGGTGACGCTCGGTGGGTAAACACCCCGGGTGGCTCTGGGAGGGAGTGGTTCACGTCTGTTTGTGTTGTGGGTGCGGCAGGTCGCTCTGGGACCAACGTTGGGGGGTGGGGGGTCCCGGCTGCTCCCCCTAACCAGCCCTTTCTCCCCACAGGGGTGGGGAAGAGCAGCCTCCTCCTGCGGTTTGCAGATAACACGTTCTCCGGTAAGTACCCCCCCCCCACAGCCTGGCTGCCCCCTCTTCCAACCCCCCCACAGGTCCCCAGCCTCCTTCCCTCACTGCCCCCCAAACTCCTCTGGCCTCCCAATTCCTCTCCCCACTTCACCCCAGTCCCCAAATCCTCCTTCTGCCCCCCCATGGGCCGTGTGGTTCTGGGGGGGGGGGTCCCTTCCCTCCGGGTGCTTGAGGTGGTCCCCAGGGGTTCACATCTGGGCTGGAGCGACTGCACTCCTGGCTCCGAGCCCCCCTCCCTGGGACGGACCCCACTGGGAGGGGCACTGTTGAGTCTGGGGGTGTCTCGGGGGGATCGTCACAGAGCCCCGTGACCCCATCGGCTGGATGCATCACTCGTCTCTTCCTCCCTTTTCACCTTTCCTCCCTTTTCTCCTTCCCGGCTCCCTCCCCTTCCTGGTTCCTCTCTTTTCCCCTCCATCTCTGTCCCGCCCGGCCCACTCCTTCCTTTCTCCTTTCCCTCGCCCCCCCCCTCCTCTGCCCCCCCCGCCCCCCTGCCCCGGCAGGCAGTTACATCACCACCATCGGCGTGGATTTCAAAATCCGGACCCTGGTGATCAACGGCGAGCGGGTCAAGCTGCAGATCTGGGACACGGCCGGGCAGGAGCGATTCCGCACCATCACCTCCACGTGAGCCGGACGCCTGGGTCCCATCTGGGATGGGGAGGGGAGGGGGTCAGTGGTGAGAGTGGGGGGGGGGCGGGAGCCAGGACTCCTGGGTTCTCTTCTCCGCTCTGGGAGGGGACTGGGGGTCTGTTGGGTTAGAGCAGGGGGGGCTGGGAGGCAGGACTCCTGGGTTCTCTCCCCGGCTCTGGGAGGGGAGTGGGGGCTTGTTGATTACTCGGATGCCTGGGTCCCATGGCTTGTCTCGTCCCCCCACGCCCCTGGGCAGGTATTACCGCAACACCCACGGTGTCATCATCGTCTATGACGTGACGAACCCCGAATCCTTCGTCAACGTCAAGCGCTGGCTGCACGAGATTGGGCAGAATTGCGACAGCGTCTGCAAGGTGCTGGGTGAGTCTGGGGCCCCCCTCAAACCCCCGGGGGCCCCCCTTCCCCCGCAGCGTCTGCAAGGTGCCGGGGGAGTCTGGGGCCCCCCTCAAACCCCCGGGGGCCCCCCTTCCCCCGCAGCGTCTGCAAGGTGCGGGGGGAGTCTGGGGCCCCCCTCAAACCCCCGGGGGCCCCCTTCCCCCACAGCACGCAAGGGCCGGGGGGGGGGCCCCCCCCCCCCCTTCCCCCGCAGCGTCTGCAAGGTGCGGGTGGGGGAGTCTGGGGCCCCCTCAAAAAACCCCCGGGGGGCCCCCTTCCCCCCAGCACGCAGCGTCTGCAAGGTGCCGGGGGAGTCTGGGGCCCCCCCCAAACCCCCGGGGGCCCCCCTTCCCCCGCAGCGTCTGCAAGGTGCTGGGTGAGTCTGGGGCCCCCCTCAAACCCCCTGGGGTCCCCCTTCCCCCGCAGCATCTGCAAGGTGTCGGGGGAGGCTGGGGCCCCCCTCAAACCCCCGGGGGCCCCCTTCCCCCGCAGCATCTGCAAGGTGCTGGGGGAGGCTGGGGCCCCCCTCATCCCCCCGGGGTCCCCCTTCCCCCGCAGCATCTGCAAGGTGCTGGGTGAGGCTGGGGCCCCCCTCAAACCCCCGGGGGCCCCCCTTCCCCCCCCTGCAAGGTGCCGGGGAGTCTGGGGCCCCCCTCAAACCCCCCCCGGGGGCCCCCCTTCCCCCGCAGCGTCTGCAAGGTGCCGGGGGAGTCTGGGGCCCCCCTCAAACCCCCTGGGGTCCCCCTTCCCCCGCAGCGTCTGCAAGGTGCCGGGGGAGGCTGGGGCCCCCCTCATCCCCCCGGGGTCCCCCTTCCCCCGCAGCGTCTGCAAGGTGCCGGGGGAGGCTGGGGCCCCCCTCAGCTCCCCCAGATCTGCCCTCCCCAAGGGGATGTGTCCCCTTGCCCCCATCCCGCTACCCCAGGGGACTCTGGGTTAACCCCTTGGGGCCCATTCCCCTGTGCCTGACCCTCCCCCCTCTTTCCCCACAGTGGGGAACAAGTGCGAGGACCCCTCCCGGAAGCAGGTGGAGACGGCCGACGCCCGGCGCTTCAGCGAGCAGATGGGGGTGCGGCTCTTTGAGACCAGCGCCAAGGAGAACCTCAACGTCGAGGAGGTACTGGCACTGCTGTGGGGAAGCTCGCAGCGCGGCGGGGGGGGCAAGCCAGACTGGGGACACTGCTGAAGGGAAGCTCGCAGCACTGTGTGTGTGTCTCGGGATGGGGGGTGGGGTGCAGGAACAGTCCATGGCTGGGACACTGTTGCTGGGAAGCTCCCAGCCCCATTCCGGGAAAGGGGGGATGGGGCTGCAGGGCAGTTTGCCTCGGCCTGGGACACTGCTGGGAGGAAGTTTGCAGCCCTGCAGGGGGCAGGGAGGGAAGCTGGTGGGGGCACTGCTGTGGGGAAGCTCGCAGCACTGTGTGTGCGTGGGGGGAGTTGCCAGGAAGCTCCTAGCACCATGGGGAGAGGAGGGAGGAGAGGCTGCAGGAAGCTGACCTTGGCCAAGGGAAGCCCTGCGGGGAAGCTCGTGGCGCTGGGTGGGGGGATCGGGCCGGGGGCACTGCTGTGGGGAAGCTCACCACCCTCTTGCCCCGCCCCCCAGATGTTCAACGCGGTGACGGCCATGGTGCTCCGCACCAAGCAGGAGAACCTGGCCCGGCTGCAGCACCCCGAGGTGGTGAAGATCAACAGGCCCAAGAAAAAGCCCCCCGTCAAGAAATGCTGCTGAGGGATGGGGCCCCCCAAAACCTGGGGGGAGCTGAGCCCCTGCCCCCACCCCCCTGGGGCAGGGATGGACTGTGTGTGTATGGGGGGGGTATCCGCCCCCCTGCCCCGGGGACTCCTGGCCATTGCGGCTGTGGGATGGGGGGTCTGGAGAGGGGGGACGGTGGGGGTTGGCTGGAGCCTGGGGGGCTGGTGGGAGTGGGGGGATGGTGGAAGGAACAGAGCGAAGGGGGACTAGAGGAGACTGTCCTGCCCTGGGGGGGTCCTGGGCCCCCAACTTTCCTCCTGCCCCCCAATCTGCCCCCCATCCCTATCTCTCCACCCCACTGTGAAAGGGAAGATGCCTCTTTCTGGTGCCCATGCCCCCGCGAGCGCGGCAGGGTCCCACAACTCTGGAGTGGGGGAACACATGGGAGTTGCTGCTCCACCCCCCCATATTCCCCCATGCCCTCATTTGTTTGGGGGTGTCTCCCTGCTCCAGCTCTCCATTCTCCCACAGGGGACCCCAAATCTCCCCAGCGCAGGCCCCCCCAAGTGCCCCTATGCACTCCAACCCTCTTGAGCACTGGAAAGGCAGCATGTAGGAAATGAGGGGCAGCAAGCACCCCAAACCCTCTCCTTGCACCCCACACTCTGGGAGCATGTGGGGATATGGCCCCCTCACTGGGAACAAGATGGGGTTCACCCCTCTTTTCCGAGAGCTGCCCCCTCTGGGATCAAATCTGGGGTTTGCTGCCCGGCTCTGAGTTCCCGCCCCACTAGGAGTGGGGTGGGGGAGCTCAGCAGTGGGGGGCAGCCCCCGCACTGGGAGCAAAAGGAGGCAGTTCGCTCGTGGGGTGCAGCCCTGGAGCCCCCTCCTGGGGGCAATAAGGGGAGCTTGGAAGTGGGTTCACCCCAGCACTGGAACAGGGTGGGGTGTGGGGCTGGCCCCCTAATAACTGTGCAATAATCTGGCCCCGCCCCGGGGGGGTGAACTGACCCTAACCCCGCCCTAGCCACGGAGACAAGTGTTTCTTTAATAAAGACAGTTTAGGTATGAAAAGAAGCCTGCTTGCTTAGCCCGGACGCCTGGGTTCTCTCCTGGCTCAGAGCCAAGACTCCTGGGCTCTGTTCCTCGCTGTGCGTGCCTTGGTTTCCCCTGGCGCTAGCCAGTTATGACTCTCTGGGGGTGGCGTGAGGCAGGGGGCCCCGGAACACCCTCCCCTTAAGAGGAACCCAGTTAATTCAGATTCAGGACGTTTACACTTCGCCATTCTGCTCTGGGTCAGACCTGCTCTGGGGGGAGACGGTGGCCAGCGAGGGATCTGTGTGGATGGTCCCCTCACCTTAAGCAGGGAAACGGAAACTGGATTCAGCCCAAGGGCCGGGGCCACTGTGGTGAGGAAGCTCACTGCGCCAGGGGGCGGACAGTCTGGGGGAGAACTCGCCGGTGAGGGGCACTGAGGCAGGGCACTGTGCTGGGGGGTGGACAGTGGGTGGGGGAGGGAGAACTCACCAGCAGGGCAGCCACTGAGGCAAGGCACAGCGCTGGGGGTGGGCCGGTGTTGGGGGAGTGTCTGGCTGGGGGCACCTCTAGAGGGAAGCTCACAGCAGCAGGCTGTATAGTCACTGGCTGGGGGCACTGTTGGGGGAAGCTCGCAGCGTTGCCGGGAGAGGGGACTATTCCTGGCTGGGGGGTTGCAAACCCCTTTCGAGCGCCTCACCTGCTTTGAACTCCCAGGCCGGGGGAGAAACGCTGTCCCCACCCTCTGCCTGGGGCGAGAAATCTTTCCCCAGGGGGGCTGGTCCCTCCAGCAGGGAGAGAGGGGACTCCCCCAAAATTCCCCCTCCCCGTGGGGGGGGGCAGCCCCCAAAACATTCCAGACCTCCCCAGCCTCAGGGCTCTCTCCTCCTTTATTGACTCCCGGGCAGCGGGCGAGACGCACAAACTTCAGTACAGTTCATCTTGTGGTCGCAGTGGTGGGGACGCCCCAGCTCGGGGCACTGCTGCGGGGAAGCTCGCTGCGCTGGCGACAGGGTGCGTCCAGCCCCTGTGGGTCTGTCTGGGGTGAGTCCATACCCAGCGTCTCCCCCGCTGGGATGGGGAATGGTCCTGCATCACAGCTCCATCTCCTCCGGCCGCACCCCCTGCCCCCGGCCTGGGGAGAGCAGCGGGGGGTCAGCTAGGGCGCTGGGGGGCAGCATGAGGGTCCGGATGGAGTGGGGCACCTGGCTACCCGGGGGGGTCCACAGCACCAGCTCCGTCGCGGGGTTCCTGGGGCAGGGGAAGGAGACGGAAGTTAGATAACGCCAGCCCGTCCCTGCCCCCTCCTGCCCCTCCATGGGGCAATACTCACAGGTACTGTAGGAGGCCTGGCTCTGCCAGGCTGAGGGGGGTGCAGTCGGCCATGCTGAACTCCCCCTCCAGCACCACGCTGCCCTCCTCGGCCTCCGCCCCGCCGGCGTCCTCGCTCCCTCCAGCCGGGGGCCAGCCTAGGGGGAACACACAGCGCTGAGATGCAGCCACCTCTGGGGCGAGTCCCCCGTTCCCCCGGCACGCTGCTCCCCCCGCCCTGCTCCCCATGGTGCGCCCCGGGTACCTCTGCTCCGGCTCCCGGCAGCGGGCGTAATCCTGCACCCACTGCGCCCAGGCGGGGTCGGGCGCCGGGCCCCGGGCGGGGAACCCGTTGCCGCTGTAGACGTGGTCGTTCTCCAGGCTCAGCGTGTTGAAGCGGGCCGCCATCTTCTCCTCCGACAGGAACTGCTTTGGGCCGGGCTGCCTGCAGCGGGTGGGGAGGGAAAGGGGAGCTCCCACAATGCACTGCGCTCGGTCGCGCCAAGCTGGGGGGCTCTTGGGCTGCTATGTGCCCACTTGCAGCGAGACGGGGGTTCCCAGCATGCATTGCGCACGGTCGTGCCGAGCCTTGCGTGCCTAAGCGCCCGCGTGACCAGTCCAGCCAAGCTGGAGAGCTCCCAGAAGCCTTTGCACCACCTCACGCCAAGCTGGGGAGCCACCTAGCAGCTCTGTGTTCTTGGGGAACCGGGGGGCAGGGCCCAGCCTGGCTGACTCACGAAAGAGCTTCCCGCCCCAGCCTCTGCTTGAACCAAATCTGCACCAGAAGAAAGACGTACAAAAAGCAATGGAAAGGCTGTGGGAGACACCCCTAAACCCCAGGATAAGGGGGACAGGAATAAGGAAACCCCCCTAGCCTCATCTGCATGGAAGATGGGACAAGGAGGCATCTCCATCAGCCTACAGAATGGAGATTCCAAGGCAAGGACCGCAGGGAACTCTGGGAGCAGAAAAGCAGGGCAGCACGGCATGATGGGGGATCTCTGCCCCAGATGTTAATGAACCCACGCCTCCACGCCCTCAGCTCAGTGGTGATCAGAGCAATTCTAGTCATGAATCCTTTATTGGTATCCAAAATGGTGACGCTCTCTAACTGCATTGTGAGCTCCCTCCAGGGAACAGCGCCCACAGCCAGGAAGCTCAGCTCCTGTTGTCCTGAGCAAAACAACTTTGGGATCCTCCCTTGAGCCATCCGTCTGCCCATAAACAAATCGAGCGTCTCCCTTGAACCACTGTTCTTCCCCTACAAAACCCCGACCCACGCTCCAGCCCGTGCTCTGCTGCCTGGATCCAAACTCTGCAGCAGGTCCACTGGGACCCCAGCACTCCGGACCCTCAGCTACCACCGCCCCCTGGGACCCCCAATCGACTCCAGCTTCACGGAGTGGTGAGAACCCAGCTCTCTCGCTCTCTAGGTGCAGCCCCCTGACCCTGACGTGTGTGATCAGTTAGAGTTTTCTAAATCTGACTTTTATAATCTGGATTTAAGATGATCACGGTTTGGTTTGGCTCCCCGGTGGTTATTACCTGGCAATAAATAACTTTCTTGGTTAAGCCGGTTACGTCTCCCTCTCTCCGTCTCCCCCTCGTGGGGTTGTTTTTGGTTCCGCATTCGCTCTGCAGCAAGGCTCCTCGTCCCTAAGCTAAAGATCCCTGCAACGCCCCCAAATCCCCTGGGGTTTGCTCAGCCAGTGGGTTGCGACCAGAACAATTGTGATGTGAAAGTGCTGATTAACCTGGTCCACTTGGGGTGGGGTGGGGGTGTGGGTGTGTTTTCACGGTGTTTTTACAGCCCTAGGGAACCGAGGTCCTGCAGGATCACGCCGTTGGGAGGGGACGTGCAGCAGGGAGAAGCAGAGCTCCGTATGAGAACACAAGGGACACAAGCAGCACGTTGATAGAATTACAGAACCCCCCTCCCCAAGGGTAACCCTAATAAATGAGTGAACCCCAAAGTAACGGGCAAAGCTGGTAACGGGTCTCCTGGGCTGCACTGCGCCTAGTCACATGAGGCCAGGAGCCTCCCAGAATGCATTGCACTGAGTTACGCCAAGAGAGCGGCCTCCCAGCAGGCACTGCCCCTGCTCATGCCAACCGGGGGAGCTCTCAGGAAGTCCCGCCCTCGGTCCTGCCAAACTAGGGATCCCCCAGCATGCACTGCAGCCAGGCTGTGGTGAGGAACCAGGCAGGGTTTAACCAGGAAGGGGGATGAAGGCCCCCAGGCCTCCCCCATTGATGTCACCTCCCCCATACTCACTGCTCTTCCTTCCCCAGGCGGCGTTTCAGGGCCAGCGACGCCACGTGGGGCAGCTGGCGGATGCTGAAACAGGAGGAGAGAGTCAAAATCAGAGGGTCCCAGTGCCCCGTCCCAGCTCTTTCAGTCCCAGCAGCCCCCGCATACGCTCACCATGGCAGTGCCGTGCCGGTGAAGCTGACCAGCCCCTGATCCCGAGCGGCCCAGGGCATTCTGCGGGGCACCTCCTGCCTCCAGCCAGGGGTCGGGGCCGTGCAGCGGGGGGAGCCCAGCCACGGGCGGCGGCTCCAGCCCATGTCCGCCCCCCTAGGAAGGGGCAGTGCCGGGGCTCGAGGTCACCGCTGCCCCCGGCTGCCAGGGTTGGGGACCCATCCGCGGGTCATCGCCTGGAGAGACAAGGGAGAGTTACACGCTGTCATAAATATCAAGGGAAGGGTAAACCCCTTTAAATCCCTCCTGGCCAGAGGAAAAACCCTCTCACCTGTAAAGGGGTAAGAAGCTAGAATAACCTCGCTGGCCCCTGACCACAATGACCCATGAGGAGACCAGATACTTTCAAAGCTGGAGGGGGGAGAAACAAAGGGTCTCTCTGTCTGTGGGAGGCTTTTGCCGGGGACAGAACAGGAATGGAGTCTGAGAACTGAGTCAGTAATCTAGCTAGAGACGCGTTAGATTCTGTTTTGTTTAAATGGCTGCTAAAATAGGCTGTGCTGAATGGAATGGATATTCCTGTTTTTGTGTCTTTTTGTCACTTAAGGTTTTGCCTAGAGGGAGTCTCTGTGTTTTGAATCTGATTACCCTGTAAAGTATTTACCAGCCTGATTTTACACAGGTGATTCTTTTACCTTTTCTTCAATTAAAATTCTTCTTTTAAGATCCTGATTGATTTTTCCCTATTCTTAAGATCCAAGGGTTTGGGTCTGTGGTCTCCGATGCAAATTGGTGAGGATTTTTATCAAGCCTTCCCCAGGAAAGGGGGTGTCGGGTCTGGGGAGGATTTTGGGGGGAAAGACGTTTCCAAGCGGGCTCTTTCCCGGCTATGTATCTGTTAGACGCTTGGTGGTGGCAGCCATAAAGTCCAAGGGAAAAGGTAAAATAGTTTGTGCCTTGGGGAAGTTTTAACCTGGGCTGGTAAGAATAAGCTTAGGGGGTTTTCATGGGGGTCCCCACCCCTGTCCCGAGAGTTCAGAGTGGGGCGGGAACCCTGACAGGGCGGCAGACACGCCCAGCGACCCCGCCCACGGGCTCAGCCGGCTCCCAAGGCGCAGGGCGCCAGAGGGACTGAGCTGCTGGGCTCCCAGCATGCACCGGGGGGTCACGTGGAGCCGGGGGGGCTCCCAGCATGCACCGCGCCGGGCCAGGGGCTCCCAGCATGCACCGGGGGGTCACGTGGAGCCGGGGGGGGCTCCCAGCATGCACCGGGGGGACGTGGAGCCGGGCCAGGGGCTCCCAGCATGCACCGCGCCAGGTCACGCCGGGCTGGGGGTCTCCCAGCATGACCGGGGAGGTCACATGGAGACGGGGGGGCTCCCAGCATGCACTGCGCCGGGCCTTACGGGGCCGGGGGGGCTCCCAGCATGCACCGGGGGGGTCACGTGGAGCCGGGGGGGGCTCCCAGCATGCACTGCGCCGGGCCTCACGGGGCCGGGGGGGCTCCCAGCATGCACCGGGGGGTCACGTGGAGCCGGGGGGGCTCCCAGCATGCATTGCACCCAGCCACAACCCCCTGAAGAGATGGGGCGGGCCCTCGAAAGGGGGCGCGGCTAGACGCAGGGGGCGGGGCTGCAGTTCCGGGGGCGCGCCACAGGCCGAAGTCAGCCCGCGCGCATGCGCAGAGCGACCCCAGGTGTAGCGGTTGGCACCTCGGCGCGTGGCTTCCACCGTTCGTCTCGCGACGGGGGCAGCGATTGGGTGGGGTTCGACGCATGCGCGGTACGGACCTGACAGAGATTTTTTTCGCACCGACCGGGGTCCTTTTTCTTACTCCCCTCCCCCCCGCCTCAGCGTCCTCAGGATTCTCCGCCACCACCTTCCTCCGGGATGCGTGCGCAGCCTCCCCCGTCACGTGAGAGGAGCGGGCCAATGGACTGCGGCGGCGCGGGGCCTACTGGGAAATGTAGTCCTTGGCCTTCTGCTGGGACGAGACCGTCCGGCGCGTGGGGACTCCATTTCCCATCGGGCGCCGCGCGCGCTCGCTGCCCGAGCCGCCCCGGGCGGGCCCGCGCAGCCTGCTGGGAGCTGTAGTCCTCGGCCGGGGGAGACGCGGAGTGACGACGTCAGAGTAGCGCGACGCGGAGGCACGTTGTGTGAGGAGGCCTCATGGCACCTGGGGAGGTAACTGCATCCGCAGCACAGGCAGAGGATGGGGGGAGGCAATCCCAGCATGCACCGGGCGTGGGGCTCCCAGCATGCACCGGGCAGGGACCCGGTGCATGCTGGGACCCCCCGGGTTGGCGCGACCCGGCCCGGTGCATGCTGGGACCCCCCGGGTTGGCGCGACCCGGCCCGGTGCATGCTGGGACCCCCCGGGTTGGCGCGACCCGGCCCGGTGCATGCTGGGACCCCCCGGGTTGGCACGCCCTGGCCCTGGCGCGGGCTGGGAGCCCCCGGGTTGGCGCGACCCGGCCCGGTGCATGCTGGGAGCCCCGGGTTGGCGCGCCCTGGCCCTGGCGGGGGCTGGGAGCCCCGGGTTGGCGGATCCGGCCCCAGCAGGCTGGGACCCCTGGGTTGGCGCCCTGGCCCTGGCGCGGGCTGGAGCCCCCGGGTTGGCGCGCCTGGCCCTGGGCGGGCTGGGACCCCCCGGGTTGGCGCGACCCGGCCTGGTGCATGCTGGGAGCCCCCGGGTTGGCGCGACCCGGCCCGGTGCATGCTGGGAGGCCCCGGGTTGGTGCGCCCTGGCCCTGGCGCGGGCTGGGAGCCCCGGGTTGGCGCGATCCGGCCCCAGCAGGCTGGGACCCCCGGGTTGGGCGCCCTGGCCTGGGGGCTGGGACCCCTGGGTTGGCGCGACCCGGCCCAGCAGGCTGGGACCCCGGGTTGGTGCGCCTGGCCCTGGGGGGCTGGGAGCCCTGGGTTGGCGCGACCCGGCCCCAGCAGGTGGGAGCCCCCGGGTTGGCGCCCTGGCCCTGGCGCGGGCTGGGAGCCCCCTGGGTTGGCGCGACCCGGCCCGGTGCATGCTGGGAGCCCCCGGGTTGGCGCGACCCGGCCCGGTGCATGCTGGGAAGGCCCCCGGGTTGGCGCGACCCGGCCCGGTGCATGCTGGGACCCCCCGGGTTGGCGCGACCCGGCCCGGTGCATGCTGGGACCCCCCGGGTTGGCGCGACCCGGGCCGGTGCATGCTGGGACCCCCCGGGTTGGCGCGACCCGGCCCGGTGCATGCTGGGACCCCCCGGGTTGGCGCGACCCGGCCCGGTGCATGCTGGGAGCCCCCGGGTTGGCGCGACCCGGCCCGGTGCATGCTGGGACCCCCGGGTTGGCGCGACCCGGCCCGGTGCATGCTGGGACCCCCCGGGTTGGCGCGCCCCGGCCCTGGCGCGGGCTGGGAGCCCCCTGGGTTGGCGCGACCCGGCCCGGTGCATGCTGGGAGCCCCCGGGTTGGCGCGACCCGGCCCGGTGCAGGCTGGGAGCCCCCTGGGTTGGCACGACCCAGCCCGGTGCATGCTGGGACCCCCGGGTTGGCGCGCCCCGGCCCTGGCGCGGGCTGGGAGGCCCCCGGGTTGGCGCGACCCGGCCCGGTGCATGCTGGGAGCCCCCCGGGTTGGCGTGGGCCGGGACCCCCTTGGGTTGGCGCGACCCGGCCCCAGCAGGCTGGGAGCCCCCCGGGTTGGCGCGACCCGGCCCGGTGCAGGCTGGGAGCCCCCCGGGTTGGCGCGACCCGGCCCCGGCAGGCTGGGAGCCCCCCAGGTTGGCGCGACCCGGCCCGGTGCATGCTGGGAGTACATGTCCCAGTACTTGACCCCCTAATACGTCGCCCTCCCGCCCCCAGAGGGATGCCCAGCGCGCGCTGGAGCTGCTGCATATGACCGTTTTCTCCCAGAGCGTCTCGCCCTGCGGCAAGTACCTGGCAGCTGGGAACAACTATGGGGAGATCGCCATCTTCAGGTAACCCCCGGCCTGCCCCCGTCACCCCCTGCCCCTCCTGGGGCTGCTCCCCTCCGCTCACCCCCCTCTGCTCCCCCCCAGCCTCTCGGCGGCGCTGAGCTCCGAAGCCAAGGAGGAGAGCAAGAAGCCGGTGGTGTCCTTCACAGGTAGGTGCCTCTCGCGGGTGGGGGAGAGAGGGAGGGTTCCCAGCATGCACTGGGGCCACTTGCGCCAACCTGGGATGCGTCGTGCCCGCTTTTGCCAAGCCAAGGGGTCCCAGAATGCATTGCACCAAGCTGGGGAGCTCCCGGAACGCACAGCACCCGGTCATGCCAGGGAGCTCCCATCACGCACCGAATCCAGCGGCCCCAGATGCCCTGCCCCGGGGCTGACGCCCGCCTTGCTCCCCTCCGCAGCCCACGACGGGCCGGTCTACGCCATGGTCTCCACCGAGCGGCAGCTGCTGAGTTCCGGCAACGGCGAGCTCAAGGCCTGGAACTGGAGCGACATCGTCAAGAAGGTGAGACGTGCCGCTGCCCTCCCCCACGTGTCCCGGACGCCTGGGTCCCTGCTGAGGCCGCCTCTCCCGCCCCGGGCTCCTGGGTCCCTGCTGAGGCCGCCTCTCCCGCCCCGGGCTCCTGGCTCCCTCCTAACGCCACCTATTCCCGCCCCGGGCCCCTGGGTCCCTCCTAACGCCGCCTATTCCCGCCCCGGGCCCCTGGGTCCCTCCCTAACGCTGCCTATTCCCGCCCGGGCTCCTGGGTCCCTCCTAACGCCGCCTATTCCCGCCCCGGGCCCTGGGTCCCTCCCTAACGCTGCCTATTCCCGCCCCGGGCTCCTGGGTCCCTCCTAACGCTGCCTATTCCCGCCCGGGCTCCTGGCTCCCTCCCTAACGCCACCTATTCCCGCCCCGGGCCCCTGGGTCCCTCCTAACGCCGCCTATTCCCGCCCCGGGCCCCTGGGTCCCTCCTAACGCCGCCTATTCCCGCCCCGGGCTCCTGGGTCCCTCCTAACGCCGCCTATTCCCGCCCCGGGCCCCTGGGTCCCTCCTAACGCCGCCTATTCCCGCCCCGGGCCCCTGGGTCCCTGCTAACGCCGCCTCTCCCGCCCCGGACCCCTGGGTCCCTGCTAACGCCGCCTCTCCCGCCCCGGGCCCCTGGGTCCCTCCTAACGCCGCCTATTCCCGCCCCGGGCCCCTGGGTCCCTCCTAACGCCGCCTATTCCCGCCCCGGGCCCCTGGGTCCCTGCTAACGCCGCCTATTCCCGCCCCGGACGCCTGGGTCCCTGCTAACGCCGCCTATTCCCGCCCCGGGCCCCTGGGTCCCTGCTAACGCCGCCTCTCCCGCCCCGGACCCCTGGGTCCCTCCTAACGCCGCCTATTCCCGCCCCGGGCCCCTGGGTCCCTGCTAACGCCGCCTATTCCCGCCCCGGGCCCCTGGGTCCCTGCTAACGCCGCCTATTCCCGCCCCGGGCCCCTGGGTCCCTGCTAACGCCGCCTCTCCCGCCCCGGGCCCCTGGGTCCCTCCTAACGCCGCCTATTCCCGCCCCGGGCTCCTGGGTCCCTCCTAACGCCGCCTCTCCCGCCCCGGGCTCCTGGGTCCCTCCTAACGCCGCCTATTCCCGCCCCGGGCTCCTGGGTCCCTCCTAACGCCGCCTCTCCCGCCCCGGGCTCCTGGGTCCCTGCTGAGGCCGCCTCTCCCGCCCCAGGCTCCTGGGTCCCTCCTAACGCCACCTATTCCCGCCCCGGGCTCCTGGGTCCCTCCTAACGCCGCCTCTCCCGCCCGGGCTCCTGGGTCCCTGCTGAGGCCACCTCTCCCGCCCCGGGCTCCTGGGTCCCTCCTAACGCCACCTATTCCCGCCCCGGGCCCCTGGGGCCCTGCTAACGCCGCCTATTCCCCCCCCGGGCCCCTGGGTCCCTCCCTAACGCCGCCTATTCCCGCCCTGGGTCCCTCCCTAACGCCGCCTATTCCCGCCCCGGGCCCCTGGGTCCCTCCTAACGCCGCCTATTCCCGCCCCGGGCCCCTGGGTCCCTGCTAACGCTGCCTCTCCCGCCCCGGACCCCTGGGTCCCTCCTAACACCGCCTCTCTCCCTGGCAGGGGTGCAAGGAAGCCTGGAGCCGCAGACCCCCGTACAGGTGAGCCCCCCCGTCCCCCTGCCCCCACCCCCTTCGCTTTCACACTCCCGCTCTCTCTCCTGTGCCAGGAGCAGCCTGGAGGTGCCCGAGATCAACAGCCTGCAGCTGAACCCCAAGGTGAGCTGCCGTGCATTGTGGGAAGGGGGGGCACCCCTCGGTCCCCCAGCCCCCCCCTTACCTGCTGTCTCTCTGCCCTTCCCCCGCAGGATAACAGCCTCCTGCTGGCCGGGGGCGACTGCGCCGTGCACGCCATGGACCTGGAGTCCGGCGCCTTCACCGTGAGTGTGGGGGGGTCACCGTGGAGCTGGGGGGGCCATGGGAGCCTGTGGGTGCAGGGGTGGGCCACCAGGGGGAGCCCCCCCCCTCGGTCACTGCTGGGGAAATGGGCCGGAACGCACTGAAATGGGAGGGTAGCGTCTGTCTGTCCCCGTCCTCCCGTCTGTCTGTCCCCCTCTGTGTGTGCCTGTCCTCCCGTCTGTCCATCCCCGTCTTCCCGTCTGTCTGTCCTTGTCTGTCTGTCTCCGTCCTCCCGTCTGTCCGTCCTCATCCTTCCGTCCCCGTTCTCCCGTCCCCGTCTGTGTGTGCCTGTCCTCCCGTCTGTCCGTCCCCGTCCTCCTGTCCCCGTCCTCCCGTCTGTCCGTCCCCGTCCTCCCGTCCCCGTCTGTGTGTGCCCGTCCTCCCGTCTGTCCGTCCTCGTCCTCCTGTCCCTGTCCTCTCGTCTGTCCGTCCCCGTTCTCCTGTCGCCGTTCTCCCGTCCTCCCGTCCCCGTCCTCCCGTCTGTCTGTCCCCGTCTGTGTGTGCCCGTCCTCCCGTCTGTCCATCCCCGTCCTCCTTTTCGCGTCCTCCCGTCTGTCCGTCCTCGTCCTCCTGTCCCTGTCCTCTCGTCTGTCCGTCCCCGTTCTCCTGTCGCCGTCCTCCCGTCCTCCCGTCCCCGTCCTCCCGTCTGTCTGTCCCCGTCTGTGTGTGCCTGTCCTCCCATCTGTCCATCCCCGTCCTCCTTTTCGCGTCCTCCCGTCTGTCCGTCCTCGTCCTCCTGTCCCTGTCCTCTCGTCTGTCCGTCCCCGTTCTCCTGTCCCCGTCCTCCCGTTCTCCCGTCCCCGTCCTCCTGTCTGTCCGTCCCCGTCTGTGTGTGCCCGTCCTCCCGTCCCCGTCCTCCCGTCTGTCTGTCCCCGTCTGTGTGTGCCTGTCCTCCCGTCTGTCCATCCTCGTCCTCCTGTCCCCGTCCTCCCGTCTGTCCGTCCCCGTCCTCCTGTCTGTCCGTCCCCGTCTGTGTGTGCCCGTCCTCCTGTCCCCATCCTCCCGTCTGTCTGTCCCCGTCTGTGTGTGCCTGTCCTCCCATCTGTCCGTCCCTGTCCTCCTTTTCGCGTCCTCCCGTCTGTCCGTCCTCCTGTCCCTGCCCTCTCGTCTGTCCGTCCCCGTCTGTCCGTCCCCGTCCTCCTGTCCCCGTCCTCCCGTCTGTCCGTCCTCCTGTCCCTGTCCTCTCGTCTGTCCGTCCCCGTCTGTCCGTCCCCGTCCTCCTGTCCCCGTCCTCCCGTCTGTCCCCGTCCTCCTGTCCCCGTCCTCCTGTCCCCGTCCTCCTGTCCCCGTCCTCCCGTCTGTCTGTCCTTGTCTGTCTGTCACCGTCCACCCTGTTTGTCTGTCCCCGTCTGTGTGTGCCTGTCCTCCCGTCTGTCCATCCCCGTCTTCCCGTCTGTCTGTCCTCGTCTGTCTGTCCCCGTCCTCCTGTCTGTCTGTCCCTCTCTGTCAGTCCATCCCCATCCACCCCGTCTGTCCGTGCCCCCCTGCCCACTCTCTCTCCCTGTCTCCCCAGCAGGAGTTTCGGGGGCACAGTGACTACGTCCACTGCCTGGCGCTGCGGGACCAGGCCCAGGAGTGCCTGTCGGGCAGCGAGGACGGCACCGTGCGCATGTGGGGTGAGGAGCCGGAGGACCCCCACGGCGCCGCCGTCCTGACACCCTGGCCCCATCCTGAGCCCTCGGGCGGGCCCGTGGGCTGGGGGAGGGGGTGGCTCGGAGCCTGGGGCCCATCCATGTCCTCCGGGATGTGCAGAGACCCGTCCATGTGCCCCCCTGCCCCCGGCTGAGCGGTGAGAATGGCCCATCCCGCCACTGTCTCTCTGCGGGGCAGGTGATGACTGGGGGGGGGGGGGGGGGAAGGAGGCCCTGCCCCCCCCCCACACTGAGCTCTCTGTGTCGCAGATCTACGCACCGGGGCACAGGTCCAGCTCATCGAAGTGCACAAATACGAGGTAACGACAGCTCCCCCCGTCCCCCAGCTCTAACCACCAGCCCCCACTCCCCTCCCAGAGCCGGGGAGAGAACCTGGCTCCCAGCCCCCCCCTGCTTTAACCCACCAGCCCCCACTCCCCTCCCAGAGCCGGGGAGAGAACCCCGGAGTCCTGGCTCCCAGCCCCCCCTGCTCTAACCCACCAGCCCCCACTCCGCTCCCAGAGCTGGGGAGAGAACCCCGGAGTCCTGGCTCCCAGACCCCCCAGCTCTGACCCACCAGACCCCACTGCTCCCCCCATAACAGGCCCTCGTTCCCCTCCCCCAGGAATGCAGCCGGCCCCAGCTCGGGAAGTGGATCCGTTGCCTGGCAACAGACTGTGACTGGATGGTGCGTGAGTTCCCAGCAGGGGGCGCTGGGGGCTCTGGTTTGGGGCCCCCCCCTCGCTGCACCTGGGGTGGTAAAGTCACCGTCTCCTCAGCTGTGGGGCTAGGGATCTGCTGGGACGCACCCCGCCCCGTGGCGCCCGGCCGGGGGGCTCCGGGGACGCACCCCGCCCCGTGGCGCCCGGCCGGGGGGCTCCGGGGACGCACCCCGCCCCGTGGCGCCCGGCCGGGGGGCTCCGGGGACGCACCCCGCCCCGTGGCGCCCGGCCGGGGGGCTCCGGGGACGCACCCCGCCCCGTGGCGCCCGGCCGGGGGGCTCCGGGGACGCACCCCGCCCCGTGGCGCCTGGCCGGGGGGCTCTGGCCGGGGGGCTCCGGGGACGCGCTGGGCCCGGTAGCAGTCTCCCCCTCCCAGCTGGCTGCGAGGGGTTGGCCTGAGACGCCGAGGCTCATGGGGTGCGGGGGGAGCAGGGCTGTTGGGGGTCCCTGCGGCGTCTGACCCCGTCTCTCCCCCAGGTGTGCGGGGGGGGCCCGGCGCTCACCCTCTGGCACTTGCGCTCCGTGACCCCCACCACGGTCTTCCCCCTGCCCCACTGCCAGCAGCACGTCATGTTCTACCAGGACCTGGTGAGTGCCCCCCGGCCTGCACCCCTCGGCCTGCGCCAGGCCCGGGCTCCTCCGTGTCTCCTCCCCTCCGGTCCGGCCTCTTCCTGGCACACGCTTGGGTGGGCATCGCGTCCTTCCCCCGGGTGGGCAGGTGGGGGGCCACTTCGGGGGGCGTTTGTTCTTTCACCCAGGTGGGCGATCCTTCCTTCCTTCGTTTTCTTCCCCCGTTCGTTGGTTCTTCCTGTTGCCCTGCGGGTTCGTTCGCGCTTTTCATTCAGTCGTTCTGCTCCCCGGTTCATTCGTTCGTTTTACTGCTTCATTCACGCGTTTTCTTCCCTCTTTCTGTTCCCTGATTTATTCCTTCGTTTGTTTTATTCATTCTTTCTAGCATTCATTCGTTCATCCATCCTTCCGTCCTGTTCCTCCATTTGTTCCGTTTCCTGTCCGTTCGCTCTTTTTTCATTCTTTGCTTCTCTTTTATCGTTCATTCGTCACTGGGGTTCTTCCTTCGTTTGTTCTTTTCCCATTCGTTTGTCTTCATTTTTCTTTTCGTTCTTTCTTTCTCTTGCCTTCTTCCTTCCTTCCTCCCTCTGGGGCGCCTGGCACTGGCCACTGTCGGCAGACGGGACACTGGGCTAGACGGACCTTTGATCTGACCCAGTCTGGCCGTTCTTATGTCTATTTCCCTCTTCGTTCATTCTTTCGTTCTTTTCTCCGTTTGTTTTTGTTCCTTCTTTCTCTTGTTCTCTTCATTCATTCTCTTCTCCGTTCATTCACGCCTGCGTTCTGTTTTTCCTCCTTTCCTTCTCTTCCTCCATGTTTTTATTTACTTTTTCCCCATTCGTTCTGTTCTCCTGTTGGTTTGTTCATTGTTTTCTTTCTATTACTCTCTTCCTTCCTTCTTTCTTTTTACATTCGTTCTTTTTCTTGCCCTCTTCATTTGTGCCAGTCCTCTGCTTGTTCATTTGTTTGCTTTTTTAGTCAGTCCTTTGTTCTAGCCCCCAGGTCACTTTTTCACTCTTTTTTCCCCGTTCCTTCTCTCTCTCGTTTCTTCATTTGATGTCTGACGTTCTTTTCTTCTGTTCCTGTCCAGCCGCTCTGTTCCTGTGTTCGTCTCTTCGTTCGTTTGCCTTTTCGTTCATTCCTTGCGGCTTTTTCCCTCTTTGTCCCGTTCCCCCTTTCGTTTGTTGGTTCTTTTTAATGCTCTCGTCATTCAGTCTAGTCCCGTCTTTTCTCTTCTCTCCTCTCTCCTTCTATTCCCATCCCGCCACTCGTTCCAGGCCCCGCACGTTCATTGGTTCTTTCCCTCCGTTATCTCCCGAGGTCTCTCACTAACCCCCCCCGCCCCGTCTCTGCCCCCCAGATCCTCTCCGCAGGACACAGCCCGGCCATCAACCACCTGCAGATCAGTGGGGAAATCAGGGCTCAGATCCCCTGCACGCCCCGCTCCGTCCACTCGCTCTGTGTCAACGAGCGCTCCCCTGAGCACAAGGTAGGGGGTGCCCCACGCACATGGGGGGGCTGGGAGAGGAGTGGGGGAGGAGCTGGGAGGTGGGAGGGGCTGGGAGAGAGGCGGGGCCT